ATATTAACACGTAATATAGTACTTAGCGAAGGGAGGAGGGGGGAAGGGTTGGGAGAATGTTACAAATATTCATCCAGGTAGAAAAAAATTAAGCTTCCTAAGACTTTACATAAAATTTCATTTACCAAATAGTGGCTCTTTATGCTCTGTTAACTCTTGAAATCCTGCTTTGATAACATTTATTGGGGATGGTGTCTCAAGCCCTCCTTCTATCACAAATCTTTTACAGCTTTCCATGAGAGCACTTGAAAAGAGAGAAGAGTCAATTCCATACTGACGCCATCCACCCACTCCATCAGCAACCCCTGCACGCATGGGAAATAATGAATAGATTAGACATTAAACCATGGTTTATTCAAGAGCAGAGATTGATGTGATTTACACAATTTAAAAAAACACCACATAAAATTTGTCTCAGAGTCTCAGGATCACCCAATCAAGAAACTCTTGATTGTTAAATAAATTCTCCTGGTCGATACAAAGGGAAAGTACAGAAAACTGTATGGAGAATATCCACACTGAAATCATGACTAGTTTGAAAGCTGCAATACAACATTCACTTTAAACTCTATGACCTATTACTGACTCTAGTGCCTTAGTCCTCTTTGTTTCCTCACTGACTACACTATACAAATAAGTTCAAACACCTTTTTTAATTCACCTTTTAACCCCCCACTCTCCCACCTGGAAAAATAAAAAAAAAGGGCTCATTGGAACCTCTTTGGCTAGTTTCTAGAACAAACTCTATTAGCCCTGAAAGTATATGTACATACAAATGATATCACCATAACCTAGTTTAAACAAATATGACAAGAATATTGCACTCATAAAATATTGTGTATTCTTGTTGTGAACTCATGCATAACTATATAATCAGAGGTACCATATAGTTGTGAAGTATTAGTCACTTTATTGTCACATTTGATATACATTTTTGCATCCTCAAGTGGAGAATTTGAAAAAAAGTATGCTGAAAAATGACCTTGACAAAAAAAAAAAACTTGAGTCTCTTGCTTTGTCTGCCCTGATTTACTGCACAGCATCAATATCTCACATCAATAGGACTATGACTAATTATACATAAATCTTGAATGCATCACAGTATTGCCTAATGATCCCTTCTAAGTCTTTGCAGCCGACAGAATAGCCACATGCAAGAACTTTAAGTCAAAAGAGAATGAAACTATGTTTAAACAGTAGAGAGCCAATATACAAAAGGATATTTGCTCTTCCAAAATAGTTAGTTCCACTAACTCATCAAAAAAACACGCACCAATATTCGATTTGTTAGTCAAGTGCTATTGAAAATATGCTTTGACCAACTGAAATATTGATATCATTTCTCCACATTCTCTTTTAAATTCTTGCCACAATAGAGATTCCTAAACGTTATTTGCAGAACAGAAATAGCCTTAAGTACCACTGCCAGCTCTTCATAAAAAGTGATAATTCAATCCAATCAAAATAAAGGAAAATATTAAAAGAGTGAACTGTAATTAACACAAATGGGCTGAAACAAAACCTCAGGTACGCAGTCAATCATACTATGTCAATATCAAGAAGTACCATAAGTCCTTATATTAAGCCAAGGAGAGTCAGTTTTTGTGGTAGAAATAAAAGCTGTCCTCAGTTGATAATGAAGAATTTCAAACAAACATTGATAAATTTGTGAATTGACAAAAGAATATCATGACTGTTGTGAAAACAGAGAACTTCGCACGAAACAGAAAGAAGCAATTACGAATTAAATTGTCAACATGAAAGCGGACCAGTATTGAATTAACAATAAGAACAATACTGTGCTCGTACTAATGGACAATTTCTGTGGAGGTTCAAGGCAGAAAAGTCGCATTTTTGCCCGAAATTTATCAGCTTTAAGTAAAAAAACCTTAAACACTGCCGATCAAAATCCCATCTTTTGTTTAATAAAGGAAATGCATAGCAAGCACCATTAATTAAATTTCGGAAAAGAGAATGAATTATACAAAAAATACTAAGCCAGACCAGAGAAGTACTTAATAAAGGAGTCTCTGTCGTACTGTATTGGTCGGACAAAATGTCAGCATTTAGAAAATTGCAACTCCTGATTTCGCTTTTTAGACTACAATCTTTTGTGCCAAAGTAAGCGAAAGAAATCTCTATTACAACAACAGGTCCGACAGGAAATCAGGCTCACAGTATGAGCACATGTATTTGTTTTTTACTCCGAAACGAACCCAATTACCACAGACACCAAATTCGGTAAAATACCACAAAATATTGCATTTTCACTAAATTCTTCCAAACGACTTGCATTAGAGCCGAAATTTTTTTTAGCTAAAAGGTCTCAAGTGCTTTAGTTTTCGTCTGATACCATTTTTATAATTTCTCGTGCCTTTGTTTACAGACAATTTGTGTGTTACATAAGCCAGATTTAGTTCAACATGTACACATTTTTGCCATCCATAGACAAAACGATCGCGATTTGTTTAGAAACAGATCTTACCTAGCACGTCAGAGGCACTATTATTGGCGATAAAGAAGGCATCTTCTCCGTATAAGAATTTGCTTTTTCCCGGGGCAAGATCTTTTGAAAACCCACAACTCGCGGTGATGAGTTGAAGCTTCGAAGAGCTCTGTCGTTTCAGAAGCGGTGCCACAAATTGCCTGGCATGTGAAGCAATCAAACGGCCATAGACAACAGCAGTTTGCATAGCCATTGCCTGTACACTTGATAACTTTCTTACTTCCACATTGTCGACCGGCGGAAATTACTTATTAGTACCAACTCACACGAGATGTGAACCGACATGTTGATTTCCCACAATGCAGTTTGCGTTTTAATTGCGTCATTTCTTATGAGACGGCTTCTCTGCATAAGTCCCTCGGGTGTTCGGGACACGGAATACGCTGTCGAGTTATTGATAACCGTAAAATCAACACTTGAAGAATCAGATAGCGAAATTACAGAAGTGAATGATCTGGGAAAAATCTAATCAGTATGAAAAGGAAACATGATGCTGAGGACAAAACTTTCAGACACTACAGATGCAAGTAATTTGTCTTTTACAACCTTACTCCAACTCCCCCCCCGGCTCCCCGTGAAAAAAATCTGCGCCACTTCGGTTAAAATTTCTTCCAATTTTACTACAACTCAGAGGAAGATTTCAGTTAAAAATGTACAGTGCAACTGTATTACTCTATTACTCCTGGCTAAAGTATCTTGCTCTTGTCTTATCTGATCCTTTTTGAAAATGTTGAACCCTTTAACTCCCAAGATCTTCTAAGTAATTCTTCTTACTGTCTGCCACTTGGTTCTTGTGATGCTAGTTTGAAGAATTTGACACTGACACTGACAACAAGGTCACCAACAACCCATAGAAAAAAAGATTAACAAAGAGAGATTGCTGACTTCCAAAGTTTTACTTGCAAAAGTATTTATTTCAATTCATCCTAACTGATTCACTAATGGATATGAGCAAACAAATATTTAAAGTTTTAAAACGTATTGATGGGAACCTCCAAAGGTAGAAAATTGAATAAATTGCTGTTAAAATGACAAAAACGTCTTGTGTTAAAAAGATTAGTTTGGAAAAATTGGAAATGAGAACAGAGAATGAGAATGTATGAAAACTTCTGGTTTGTATGACGTTAAAACAGTTTCCACCATTATCGTCACGAGGTAGCTTAATTTTTTTTTTGTCTGCATGAGATCCTAGGGGGTCATGCCGACAATAGCAGCTACTGTGACATGTTATAAAATTTAACATGGCGTACACACAGAGAATTCTAGTTAGAAAACAGCTGATATCTGTTACAAATTTTTCTCACACTTTGTTCCCATTTATGACCAAAAATTTAACTTACAGTTAAAATATTATTTTTGACAATTTAATGCCAATTTTGTTCCACCTGAGGAGGTTTCCTTACACCCTTTCTGTTCCATAAATGATCATCAGGTAGCTTCTCCTCACAATTTCATACTTTATCCAGCTGAAGAAATAATGAGAAATTATTGACAACTTATCTGCAAGAGGGTGTTACCTTGATATGTATATCTTAGAAGATGTTTTGGTTTGTAGTATCGCTGAGTATTTTTACAAGTTGTGCCGTATTTTGACAAGCCCTTGGGGCCAATCAAAATACAAACATTGAGTAAAAATATTAAGCAATACTTCACACCAAAAAGTCTGATAAGTTATTTATCATCCAACCCCTATTTTCCTGCCAAGTGTTGCTGCTTATTTCTCACAAGGTGGGAAATACAATGAAAATAAAAAGCCTAGGGCACACAGCTGAGCACTTCAACAGGTTTTTTTACAGTACAAAATAACTTTCTGTAAAATATCACAAGATTTCTTTGCTCTATTTGCACATTGTTAGTTCTCTTCTTTGTCTAGTTAGATAATTAAAAAAACATATTATCTTAACTAATTTTTCAATTAAATTTTTCCATGTATCACTGAGATTATAAAAATATATCTCTTCATATAAATAATCTCCATTTCATTCTTCATACAAAATGCTTATTAGTTCTAAAAAAGCTGAATGTAACAGTAACTATGAGTGTTTCCCTAACCAAACAATGAAACATGATGACAGTTCTAATTATACTAATAAGTATTTATCCAAACCTTTTGACGAATTACAATTTTGATTAATTTTATCGATCCTTCAGATTCACTTTCTAAAATATTCTCTGCTTTGCAGGACTTTGCCACCTTCCCTAATTCACATATCCTTAAAAAGAGAACTGGACATTAAGAATGCCTTGGAGAGTCTCCTAACAAACCTACAGAATTTTCCCCAAACCAAATCAGGGAAGATAATTAACTTTACAATTTAATTACTTTACTAATGAAAAAGAGAGTTGCAAATGATTAGTTGAAATGCAACAATTTTTCAAGAACTGTTTACAACTTGTCACTAGCAACATCAAAGTTATTTTTACTGCTTAACATTTGTCATCCTTACTGCTGTTGAAACAGTGCCACAAATCCTTCATCTCATAATAATAGTAATTACGACAAAAGAGGACTTGTTTCAGAACCACGGTTGATTAAACCTATAAGCATTCGCCTCCTCATTTTTCGTAAATGTAAAGTACGAACAATGAACAAAATGAAAGCAATGATGATAAGCAGACCTCCCAATGAAACCACACCCAGCTCAATGGCATGAACTAGAGTGAACTTGGATAGCACCTGACTCTTCAGCTTCTCAGCTGTTGAACTGTCAATAGTTGCTGTCTCATTTATATACAAGACAGGAAAAAACATGCTTGGGATTCCAGATGTCTGAGAAATGCCATCCACAGGTTCAACTTTCACATTGATTTGAAGTCGCTTGCTGCTCCACAATGATATTCCTATGTGAGGTTCTATGTTAAGAAAAGTGCCATGATCCGCTTTATTTGGAGAAAGACCTTCTAGTGGCTTGAGAAGGGATTTGTCCCCCAAGTAGAAATGTGGTGCTGAAATAAAAAGGGGTATCGCTATAGGGGAGGGTGGCTGACATACACCAATATCCAAAATACCAGATGGGTAACATTTTTTTGTGCAAAACCCTTCATTGTCTGGATTTGCAGTGGCATTCAAAAAGGCCTTTGAAGGGACAGTAAATTGAAGGGCCTCAATACCATGGACATCACTCTCTGTTTCATGAGTAAAGTACAGCGAACGACACAGTTGTGTAACAAACACATACAGTGTATCATCTTTGCTTATTCCTGGAGCAAATTGAGAGCCATCTGTTCCATTTATCATGTTTGCATACCTGGTTTTCCAAACCTGGAGCTTTGTCATACCTTTCCAATCCATCCAGTGCACCAACATGCTGATATCAGTCTTGCCAGTAAATACACTGGTCACACCGTCATAAGTGTTATTCTGTTGAAGGGCTATTATGAAAGGTACCTCAGGAAGATATTCCTGCAAAAACTTTGGAAGATCGTCCCTTAAATCATTGTACTCCTTGAATATTGGATCAGGGTAACCCCAAAGTAAATCTTGGACGCGCCTTTTTGTATACAGTTTCTCCTGAAAACCATCAAAGATAAGTGATATAGCGTCTCGCGCAATCTTTGGTAATTTACCAGCTGCTTCCGCCAATGTAACTAATGGAATATTTACTGTAGTTACGATATCAGTAAAGGGATCACAGGTATCACAAGATGTTTCTGCATCGAAGACGAACGACATTTTCTCATTGTACGTCACCGTTTCTGTATTTGAATTCCATGTTACGTTCTGTTTCGGCCTGTGCTCTCGGTATGAGTACGGACCTTTCTGAACAAGGTACGGTCGCTTTCCTTGCTTCGCCTCCATTGGATTCGATATGTCAAAAATATAGAATTGTAGGTATATTGGCACTGAAGGATTTATCCATTCCTTGGTAACACTTGAACCTGGTTTGAGCACTAAATTATCGTTTATCTTATTCTGAATATAGCGATCCATCTCAAAATATAGAGTTACTCCTGCTATCACGAGCAAAATTCCAAAAGTTAGAAGGAAAGCAATTTTCTTGCAACCAACAACACAACAAGCTCCCTTTGAAGCAAATTCCCCGTTTGCCATGTTTCTAATTACGTGACCGATGGTACTATATCCGCCGTCAAATGAGAAAGTTATCGTACGAGGGATGAAGAACCGCTTGCAAACTGCAGTATTTTACCTTAGTTTGTACTGCAAAAGACGGGTAGTTCTAGCAACATTTCAACCAAAGGTAAACTGATATGTACCGATAAGGACTATTCAGGTCAATTTCGGTCCCGTGATTTCCGAAGGGCGCGTGAACGTTACCGACACTCCAAAGGTCAATTTGTTTCCTGATTCAGTAGGAGCACAGGCAGAGACTTTTGTTTTTAGTTGTGAACACGAGGAAGCCATTTCTAAGTCCGAAGGGAAGTTTCCGCCGAAATGGAAGTTACATAATGCCGGTGTGACTGGAATTGCTACGCAAATTGCCTCGTCATGTGCTGATTACGTCATCCCACCGATATGCATACTTTATTTGTGAGATTTTTGAAAAACCAGTTTCATCGATGGAAAATAATATGGTTCCGGCGATAACTTTACCTCTTCACATATTCTGATCTGTGACAATTCTTAAGTAAGCTTGATTACCTTTGAAGGCAACGCAAAGACTTCTTAAAGTGTACGAAACGGTCGTCACGCAAACGCGGAGACTAAAACTGTAACGCATCTTTGACAACTACGTTTTGAACTAAAGCCTCCGTTAGCCCCTAAGGGTGTCACGCATCAGATTTCTTCTACAGTTTCGCCGCTGTATCAAAAATCAAGGCCAAATGAATAAAGAAAATGATCGACAGCGCTGTGGACTGTCAAACAAATTCTCCGTGTTAGCACCATAGGAAATGTTCTGAGAACCGTGTGGAGAATCTGAACACCGACATTAGACCGAAAAGGGTCAAGGTACAAAAGAGAGAAAAAACAACTCATTTACTTATTTAACTATGAGTGGGGTGCATATGCGCCATTAGGGAAGCGCGAATTTAGTTGGCAAGGTATTGTAGGCCGTTATTTGCCTTGGGTTGAATTCCTGAAGGATTTTAGGCTGGATTACCCCGGTAGATGACTTTATTTGTTCCCTCCACGAAGATCACGTTTTTTTTTTAATATTGGAAGGGTTATTTTCGTGTTCCCAAAAATTCGTTGCTTATCTTTTTAATATACTAACAGAGAGTTGTATTTTACTAACATTTTAAGAGATGCTGGTCATCTCTCACCCAAATTTCGACTGGACAAATAACTAATGTAAATCGTACTTTACAGATTGTTTCATCCACAATAAAGAAGAGAGCGCAAACAAAACGTTGACCTTTTCACTCCCAAAATCTTATTATTTAGTAATTCTCCACATTCTCTCTCATAAAATTCTTATAATGTTAATTTGGAGAATTTGGCATTAGATCAAGTACTCAATTCCCCGTAATCTGTGTAATATTGTATCGATATTGTAAGGAGAAATTCTGCCTTGGTTAACATGGAAGTTTACTGGCCAACTTATCGCAGAAAGTAAGACAGAAGCCGTTGCACGTCTTAGATCAATAAATAGCAAAATAGGATGTATTTCTTTTTTATTTACGAGGATCAATTTTTCATAAAACCATATCATTTTATTCTCAAGTCACTTCGTTCAGGCGTCTTTTCTTAGCAACAGAACTTGCAATTTCTTCTCCTTCATATGTTACACTATGCTGGTCTGACTGGGCTTCTTTACTGTCCTTGTGACTCTGTTGGAGCTTATTGGTGAAACAGTCACGCACTCCGTCAGCCTAAAATCAAATGAAGGAGAGCATAACGTGCATGAAATTCTTTCAACAGGACCCTAGCCTAGCTATTCTTGAGGGAAGTAGATATATTGGGATGGTTTCTGTTGATTCCAGTTTCCACCCATTCCAGCACACTCTTCGAAAGACTACCGCATAAAGAACAAGTAGTCCTAGATTGCATTGCTTTACTTCGCTCTGCGTTTGGTGGAGAAAACTCGCATCACTCTCTCAACCAATCAGATGCAAAACTAAAAACCAATCGCGGCTTGGTCGCCTGCGTTTTCCCGCGCTTTAGGGAGTTTGGTTTGTTTTTACTTTGAGTAAAGTTCTCATTGGCTCTTAAAAGTTTTTTCCTTTCTCCTGATTGGCCATTGCGATTACTTTGGGTTTGGTTTTATGAAAATCACTCGAAAAGCGCTCAAACCAAATATGAATTGAATCTCCCCACAGTTGCATTAACAGCACTAGTATATATTTCCAAACGAGTTGATAAAAGGTAGAAAGAGAGAACGGAGTGAAAAAAAAAAACTTCTGAAAACTGCAAGTGTCTCCCTCACATAATGAGCTAGACTCGTTTTCTTTTTTAGTGTAGAAAAACACGAAAAAGGGTAATCATGGAAAGGGGCATAAATCAAGAATGACTTTTGCGCTGATATAATTTACTCATCAAGTATAGGTAACAACATGATTTCGAGTGCACTTTGTTGTAAATAAGCACGGGTAAATTTTTTAAAGACAAAAATTGCACGAGTCCGTAGTCTTTGAAGCATTTACAAGTGCTTATCCCACCAAATTGAATCATGTTATTACTTGTTAATAATGTACATGACAAAAATCGCCGAAAGTCAAGACAGACGAAATTTTAAAAGCGCGCGTGCATTATTTGTAATTTGCGCTCGTATTACAACTTTGGTCTTGTGATACATGAGAATGTACTCGTTTTCAGCCAATCTGAAGCGCGTAATTTTTTCATGTACACTATTACTCTCAGAAGTGACTAACGTGCAACTTTTATCTTCATTGTCCATACATTCGTCAACACAGGTGATGACACTCCGACTTATCAGGTAGAAGTTGCTCGTTTGATGTAACACCAAATTATTGTAACTTATTCACAAGGAAATGTGTAGATGTCAGAATCTGATCGTGGGAGTTAAAAGGCCAACAGAAACACGATAAGCAAAGCTTAAGTTGACAGTTATTCAAGTAAAAGAGTATACAGTATCTCATTTTACCGTAATTTGAAAAGGAATTATCATCTCCTGTCGTGAAGGCGACTTGTACAAGTTGGCAAACCTTGAGTAAGAAAAAAGCGCATCAAAACCCTCAATTTCACGAGCAAAATCTTTGAGGCAAGATTCCAGAAGTGGTTAGCATTCTGCAGTAACTCACTTTGCAGCCCCTTCTACTGTGTGAAGTTATGAGACTTTAAAAAATTAGTAAAAAACTATATTCTACTTAATACTATACAGTTCGTGACACAGTAGTCGGTACCTCTGGTTATCTTCCCAGTACAACACCACACGAATCGTGCTGGCGTGACCCCAGCTTTCACCTGCAATCAACAAAAAAACAAATTAACAACTCCAGTTTGATTTATGCTGAACAGGGGGGTTAGCTGTTCTACCGTTTAAAGGCAACTCACCTAATGCGGGTATCAGATGTGACTGGCCTAGCTGAGTGGTTTTGACACGAGTGGTCATCTGATTCATGAAAACTACCTGTGTGGGGCACGAAAAAAACCAAAAACATTGGCTCCTTGGGGTATAACTTACAAGTCATAATACTAGCTGTCCACCTAATACATGCGTAATAAATTGTCTAACATAAGTTATAAACCCAACAGGAACTTAGACAGTTATCATCTACTATTCATCTGATTTACGGAGAAACAAGCTTGCGAAAAAAGTTTTTTTTTGGGCTTTTATCAGGCGATATGGGCAAGAGCGAGGCAAGCGCATCTCACCCCTTTATGCTGCCTCAGCTCCCCTGAAAAATACACTCACAAAAAATGACACCTTTTCTGTAAGCTTGGCTGAACAATTACATCTACTGAAATACAAATTAAACAAGTAACAAACAAATATAAACAAAAAAAAAAGAGATCTTGAACTACTATTCGGGAAAACGTTATACTCTCGTGTTGAAAACCAGTTACTTGACTGTGTAATGTGCAGTTCTAGCAACTGTTGTAAAACCAGATCAAAATCAAGCAAACTGCCCGAAATGAAAGAAAATACACGTAACCAAGTTGCAAGTTGTTGGAAGTTTTGCATTTGATTGGTTGAGAGAAAGTGGCGCATGCTTCAAGTTCTTTACTTACAGCTAGCTGCCGTTCACACGCCATTTTTATAAAGCTCTGTGCCAAGCCATTCAGCAGTCTTGCTCTCAAAGCAAGATCATCAAAGTCATGACGGAAGTGAAATGCAATACTATCCACCACAATGAGCTTCACCTGAAATTAGAAAAAAAACAAACAAAACAACAAAGAACTTTACAATGTAAAAAAAAAAAAAAAAAAAAAAATTGTGCAAGGAGGGGGGGTAATTACACCACTTTGATGAATTCCCATAAGTTGTGGCAAATATTGTATACCCTCAAAGGTTCTTTTTTTTGGGCCACATCAGTACCCTCTGCTAACTCTGGCCACATTTAAGAGTATACCACCCTTGGGAGGGGGAGGGAAGGGGGGGGGGGGGAAGCAGAGAGGAGGAGTAGTGTTACAACTTTTAGATTCAAAAATATTAAAAACATTTCTCTCCAAAAAAAAATTACAACCTTCAGATTCAGAAATTTTAGAAACATTATTTTGTCTTCATCATGTCCATCAGTATAGAATAGGGAAATCTGTGCTAAAAAAGTCATTCCCTCATAGAAACTGCTCTCCATCAGACTTTAACAATTACTACACAATTTGTGCAAATTATGAGGGAGACATTGATTCATTTGTGAGCATTTAGCATGAAAGTCTGGCATAGGTCACTTTAGTTCTTGCCTTCTATTGAGGGTCTTGGCACACACCCCCCCTTTTTTTGGTAATAACCTTACCCCAAGTCCAAAGTTGCCTGTGTTGTTTCACCCTTTAATGCAATTCATATTTTGGTTTCTTATTGATTCACCCTTTGGTTGAATTTCCTTGAGTTAAGTTACCTTGGGATGTTCTTCCAGGAAGTCTGGTAAAACATGGGACAATGCTATTAGTTGCATGTAGTCATGGCATCTGAACACATAGATCCTTGACAAGATGCTTTCCATGTGAAACTTTTTTAAGGCTTCATTTAGCAGACCCCTTTCTGGTCAGCAACAGTAATGAAAAGACAGAGATGAAAATTAATGAACAAAGCACTCCTGTTTTATTTTAATCTGCATAAAGATCCTCTCAGGAACTATCCAAGTTGCAAAGGTCTCTTTGTCCAATAACTTTGATTGTCAGCTTCACAACTTTGTCAGACATGGGTATTGAAGAGAAGGAAGTTTTTATTTCTTGGTAGGAAGAGACACTAGCTGAGTAATTTAAAATAAGACCTTGAGATTCACTTTGGGTCCCTTACATGCTCAGCTACTCTCATAATCATATACAATGAGATGTGGCTGCTTCTATCTTAGTTTTTGCACTAGACATGAGAAATAGAGGTTTGGGTTCTAGCCTTTGTCAGGGTCACTCTCTCTGTTGTGTTCTTGGGCAAACATTTGTAAGAAAGCTCAGGGATAGCTGCAATTGGAGAAGCATCCTGTCCAACAAGAGTAGTGTAACACTCCTTACAGTATTACCCCTGAATCACATGTAAAGGTCACAAGAATAAAGGAAATGTTCACCAACTAAAGCAAATCTTCATTCCTAAACAAATTCTCCTTGTCAGCACATTAGGAAATGAATAGAGAACAGTATAGAGAATATGCATACTGATGTTAGAATGCAAAGGGTTACTGGCAAGAAATCTAAGATAAGCTTTTGTTAAGAATTGGGTATCAAGGCCTGTAAGACTTAAATATCATCCCACGTCAGTCAAAAAGGAAACAGTTTCACAGAAAATGTAATGCCTCAGTACCTGTTTCATCAGCATCAGAAGACTGGACTACATTTGTTATATGCCTTATGGCAGCAGTTGCTATGTCTAACACTCTCTCAACAATAAAACTTCCCTCAGTGTCTGAAATGTTGCAAGAAAATATTAATAAAAAGTTGAGGACACTAGAAAAAATGATGCCTTTGAAACATAAAAAGTGATATGACTGTACCAATATAAATGGCTTCTCCATCAAGTCCACCAAACTCATCAGGTATCTGAACATCTACAGCTAGCTGCATTCTGAAAAAAAAAAATGTTAAAACCATTTGATAGTTTGGAAAAAGGATTTAACTAAATCCTGTTGGTCAGTAGTCCATACAAAAAACATGAAATCACCAGAAATACAAACATATCAATTGGCTCCATATAAGGTGAAATGAAGAGAGGCAATCACAACAAATTTAAAGGATTTACAAGTAAGAGAAAGTAGAATAAAATGAATTAAATGCGAGTCATCTCTCACTGCCTGAGCTTATTCCGGTTTGTTTCCATGGCGCAAAGTGACTGGGAGTGTTTTTACCCCTCCAGGGTCAGGGATCCTAGTCCATTGCATGCTTACCTCTGACAGTTTACTGATGCTTATTATATTAAAAAAAATTATAACAAGGGTCACACATTTAACAGGAGCTTTTATTGAAATGGAAGTGGTGATTCAAGGAGTTATGGTTTTTTTGACAGTGATGTCACTTTTCAGTCCTCAGTGCAGGTTTTATGATATCCCACAGGTATTGATCCAAAGCCTGTAGGACTGTAGTGTTCTTTCTGTCTGTTAAATTATACTGTAACATTATTAGTCCATAAGAACTTAATTGTAACTTAAACATTACTGTAATATTAGGTTCATACCCTATTTGAGTTTTTCCAATGCCAGGTGCTCCACAGAACTCTGTGATTTTACCAACTGGTACTCCTCCACCCAACATGTCATCAAACTTTTCACAGAAAGTGACAATACTACCAGCAGACTGCTCTTGTTGCAAAAGGTCAAAGGCATTTGTACTTCCTGGGATGGAACTTGATGAATGTTTCCCACTGATGGTTGGCTTCTTGTTCCAGGATTGTGAGGAGTCTTTAGTGCTTCGCACAGTCTGAACTATCTTAAGAGATTCTTCTTTATCAATTCCCAGATCTAATAATCAATGGGAAGTACATTTTTTTTCTAAACAGTGCCAGATAAGAAACACATCTACCTATCCTCAAAAAAAACTCAGAAAACAGGCAAAACAAAACAAAAACAGCTTAAGAGTGTCAATTTGGTATAACACCTTACTCTCTTCAGTACCTTCAACCGTTGACTCCAAAAATTTAATGGTTTATTCTCCCTTCTTCTTTGTAAATCTGGTACAAGAATTTGGTATTAGAGCAAGATAAAAAAATTCTTCTGGATAAGATTGAATATTCTCATTTCCTGTTTTCTTAACTCCGTAACTAATTTTACCAGATATGCAGGTGTAACAGCTTGAGTTGAGAATTAACAATCAGATCTTGGGAGTCAAAGGGTCAAGATTGAATCAATTCGAAAATATTTGATTACAATTTATCATGCAGTTCACACATACAATTCTCTGTCTTGTTACCCTGCTCCCTTTAAAGATCTCCAACTTTTTGTTCTCAAAACAACCCACACCCCATCCACTCGAGCTCTTTGTCATCTTCGTCACCTCTTGACACCCTTGAAAACGTCTGTTTGATTTGCATGTTTGAAAGCGAGAAGTTTGCTGAAAAGTCACGAGACAACAAAGAAGCATAGGCTGGTTGGTCAAAAAGCACAAGTGGAAATAAAGTGAACAATCTAACCGAGGACTTGCCTTCACTTAATTCAGTTGGCGTCACATCTTTCAGGTCATCAACGGTGATATAGCCTGCATTTGACAATTTATGCAGGTAATTTGAAGCCAGAGGGAACGTACAAAGCTCTCGCTGCATTAAGAGAAAGTTATCCACAACCCTTTTCCATGCATTTGGTAGAGAAACTCTGAGAAGATCTACTGACCGCCTCTCAATTAAATTCGCGCGAAGTTGACCAACAAAAGTAGTAACAGACTGGGCCGAGTCTGGAGCCACTGACCATAGACGCGTAACTCGCAGGCTCAATAGTAAACAAGGAGCGTTAGTAATCGGCGGTTCTTCGAGGCGGTTCGACGGTTGAAACATTAGAATCATGGCGCAAGGAAAGGGGAAAATTAAGAAGGCCACAGCGACCAAGAAACACCAGAAAAAGGCTCTTGGTCCTAAGAAGGGAGGTAAGTTTAAAATATTTGTGGCATGAACGAAGATAGAGTACTAATTTGAAAGTGTTGTGACGGAAGTAACACTATCGAACGTCTGTAACTGCTACGCTGTTGTTGTGCGCGCTTTTCAAATCAAGAAAAAATAAAGTTGATTTATTTGTGTACTTTATTTAAAGAAAATATTTAGAATGATATCAAAGGCTGTTCTTAGAGGAACTTTCATGTCTTTTGATCACACCCTTAACATATATCTTTTTGAGAACACATTTCAGGTTTTTGCGTCGCATGCAGAATAGAATTCGAACAAAATCTCAGATACGTTATTCAGTTTTTCTTTTGATTTGTCAGCAAGAACTATTGCTCCCAAGAAGAAGACGACTGTCAAAGCGGCGAAAGTAAAGAAGGTAATTTTTTAAACTGGTTCTTGTGTAGGTTATATTATTCACCGACATTTTATACATTCAACTCTTTCTTTTGCTGTAGTGTAATTACTATTGAGCACACACCCAGCTTTATATGACGCTCATTGCCGAGTTTATCGGATTGAGAGCTTGTTGATTTTTCTTCTGATAAATTCGTTATTTTATCCGTGTAAGAACTGGCGTATTTGTCACAAAATCGAATCCACGATGTTTTGTGATGTTAAAATTACATTTACTTTGCCTGATATAAATATAATGAAGATTTTTTTTGAAACGAAGAAAACGCGTTTTTCTTGCTTATAAAAATTTAATAATTACAGCCCGTTAAGAAACCTCAATTCAAAAGCAAAATTTAGGTATGTTTAGCGACAAAATTTCTTATCTGCACGCTTTTTGGCAACGAAAAATCTACGCAATCATAATCACAAACGATAAATATCTGTGGAACCTAAAACCATCAAACTTTTGTTAATTTAAAATACTGTGAAGAACCTCAACCAGTTCTTGAATTTGTGGAGTTGTTGATTGCATTGGATGCGGCGTGGCTACCCGTGCAATAGCATTGTTGTTAATGTCAGATGTAGAGTGGTAGTTGTAATGAAGTGCTGTGAAATTTTAAATTATTGTAATGGAAGTAAGAAAAAAGTGATCCAGATCCTAAACCACTTGAGAATCCTTTTGTTTTAAACAAACTTCCTTTAAGTAAACAGTTCACTTGAGCATATTTTCCTCTGGTGGCAAGGATGTCTGCATATAGGGGTTTCTGATATGAATATGTTTTTCTTTTTAACTGCATACCATAGCAAGGGCTGCATTGTGGCTTCAATAAACAGTCCACGTGGCACTGAAATAGGGCTAACGCTTGAAACATCAGCTTAGAAAATCTTTACAGTGGCCAATTTACATTCTCAACTCAGTTGATAAAACCAAATTATCTTGTTGTACTCCCCCACTGATGCAGCATCATTGTTTCTTTAAAAACTTACCCCCTTTATTCCCATGGCCTATGCTTTAATCGTGTTGTACAGTGAGAATTTTATTTTACACTGAAAAATTTCATGGTCTGTAATCACTTGTAGGGAAAGAGTTGGTTTGAAGTGTATGAAGAAGTAGCCAGGAACCTTAATTCCAAAAATGGTTCATCTAGGTGTTAAGGCCCATTTTCATTAGCAATGTAGTCAGTGTTTGGAAAAAAAACAGGGGGCTGTGGAGACCTGGCTTGACTTAATCAGGGCATGGAATTGCACCTAACACAAGCGCTAATGTGACTAAATTTTTCACTTTGGCAACCAAATCCTGAAAATAAGATTTAGGTGAGCTTGAATGTTGCATATCATCCATCATAGTGTCAACTTTGTAGCATGTTAAAGATCTTTTCCCTAACTTAATTTTGGAGGGTCTATCTAGAACACTGACAGCATAAAACTAGAGAAGCTTAGGATTATGAAACAAATTCTCCTTGTCAGCACCTTAGAGATTATATAAAGAACAGTAAGGAGAAAGTGCATACTGTTGTTATGTTGGAAATGGTTAAATGATTCTGAACCCTTTCACTCCCAGGAGTGACCAAGACAGAATTTCTCCTTACAATAAGTATACAATATGAAGCAGCCAAGTGATGAGAGTAGTAAAAGATATTCACTAGGAGAATACTATTGAATCCAAACACCAGATTCTCTGAACAAACTTAGTAAGAAAAGTATGACAGCTAGTTATGAGGATTTTCTTTGAGTTATGGAGAAGGAAAGGTTAAACCACAGGGAGGTCTCACCAGGTGAACTTATCAACCTTCAGTTCTGTGGTTGTTTTGTGTTAGCCTTTTTGAAAACCACTCCAGTACAAGGTTTGCAACAAGTTTCACAGAGGGTCTGGAGATAAGAGTTTTTCAGAACTTTGCTTAGATGATAGAAAAGGAAGAGGACTTTTGCGATTGTCGGCAAGTGATTGCAGTCTACTTTACTTTTGTATTGGCTGCTAATACCAGACCCTTTAGCAGTTCATCCCAGACCTCCTATATGTGGTTGTTTCCAAATAGGCCATCCTCCCAAAAATTCAGAACTCATGAGAAGGTCAGTTTTCATTCACATAGATGATCTGTAATAAGTCTCTAAGAAAGATTTTATCTCACATTTAAATTACCAGGCTCTTGAGGTAACCATCAAAGCAAATATTGAGCAAGAGCTCACCCAAGTGGCAGTCAGCAAGCAGTCCAAGCCATTGAAGATGGTGAAACCTGCAGCAGGAAAAAAACCAGCCAAGAAGAAGGGTGGAGGAAAAAAACAGAAATAAACTCACTGTTTAAAGATTTGCTGCTGTACATACATACTATCTATACTATTGGAATGCATTATAAAGTACTGCTCTCTTTTTCGTGCCTTATTTTATATCAATAAGTTGAATTTTGCATCAGACTACACCTTTATATAGGATAGCTTATTGTATTAATCTTACTGTAATTAGCCAAATCAGACATTGTAGGGGTGAATCTCCTTATGTTGTGTTCAGATGTTTTCATTTTTTTAGTTAATTAAACATATTATAGTAATCGTAACATTATGAGTATTCCAGCTATTTGTCTAATTTATTGTATCTTTTATCAAACAAACTTATGAAGTTGGTAGCACTCCGCCATCCAGAATTTGCTAGCAAACCATGTCATTACTCTTCAAGAAATCTTTGTCCACTTGCTTCGAAAACTAGTGAGAAAGCCCTTGATGACTTTCTAGGTGGGACTTTATTCAATTCAACATAGCTGATATTATTCTTGTATAAGTTATCACTAAAGTTGAGTTCAATAGCTTCATTTTTATTTGTATCTTCCCATCCGTCAGGGTAATTTTGGTTAATTGATACCATATTTACCTGACTGTGTAAACTCCTCCCTTGATTATGTGCCCCGTATGGAAGGAAATTACCATTGGATACGCCCCCCTCTCTACATCAACTAAAGGCCGAATCCAACCAGAAGAATGCAAGGGGTTTCAGTCTGAAGGATTATAGGGAAAAAGTAAAGGTTTTAAATATGATTGGATATTTTCTCTTGCTTCAGTTAACACAGCAGCACTCTTCTATTTACCAACATGAAAATCAAAGCAAAAGAGCATAAACCACCAGTCATAACCAAAGTAAATTTGACTAAGGATGAAACCAGAACTCAAAGTAACTGACAAGGAAATGACCTAAGGCCCTGGAAAACGCTGGTGGCGAAGGGACTGATCGGGGGGGGGGGGTTGGGTTGGAGCATTTTGGTTGTGTTACATCTTTTTTACGATCCCCTCCTCGTTGGCAGTTGATTTTCTATAGTCCTCACTTTGTACTCGATCTGTTGGCGACGACTGTTTCCCCCTTCCCCCTCATTTACAACCACGTGATTCCCCCGAAAGTCCTCCACACCCCCCCCCTTCCCGTTGCAATTAGTATTAGGGCTTACGTTTTCATAAGTGTCTGTTTTCGTCTCAAGCAAATTGAAGCAAAAATGTTTTCACCTTAGATAGCGTTTTCATATTGCTCTTAACTGTCCATACCACTGCCTTCTCATTTGAAAACCCATTCATTTCAATCAATTTTCGGCGATTGTCCAAACCAAAACTGCAGAGAACACAGGTGGAACCAACAGTACGTAGCGTATTTTTCGTAAACTGAAATTTTCTCACTTAATTGTCTTATGAAAAATATGCCGCAGTTTCAAAGCCCTCAACTTTTCAAATCATTTTCGAAAGACTCCGTTTCCAAAAATTTTTTCAGGCGTTTCAATGTGCATGATGAGAAAAACGCGTTAAGTGTTGTGTTCTCGAACAAAAAAACCGTAAGGGTGGGTGGGGCCTTAGTGTTGCATCTGGTTGATTGAGAAGGTGGCGGAAGCTTTCTTAAAACGAAGTGCAGACCAGTGCTACCAAGGGTAGCTCGAGTTTGCTTTAGGTACCAGCTTTCTTACCGCGGCCGTTCCGAATAAGAGCAGAGTGAAGGAGGTTGGTGATGTTGGAAGCGGCACAGGATTAAGTAATTGATTCCTAATGTAATTTCCGGCGATTGAGTAAATATGGATCAGTGGGAAATGAAACATTTCTGCGGGACGAGAGCAAAGAGGACTAGGCCTGTTCAGTGTATCATGGGGCATGATGAGAACCAAGAGAGGTTTGTCACGCGGGTTAAGACTCTGCCGGCCGGCACCAATTTCTTTAAGTGCTTTGTTCAGATTTTTGTCAAGAGATTTTTTTTCTTTATTCACTAAATTTTTTTTCACCATAGTGCACTTAGTAGTGAATGCTTTCATTTCTGATTTAGCAGCGTGGCCTTCGAAGGATGGACTATTCAGATCTTTAGCCATGGCTCCTACCCAGATTTCCTTCCTTATTTTTTCCTTTCGGGGTTTTTGCAGGCAAGGTTTTTCCTGGCTTCCTTTCTGCCTGTAACTATTTCTGTAAACTGGCGCTTAGTCTGCCCTCAGTGTTACTCTACTCACTAGCATAGAATTGCAAGATGATGTAGGTTGCAACATGCTATAACGCAATCCAAGTTCCCGGCCGTCTGCATGTATTGTAATAATTTAGGTACGGTAGTGTAGTCATGATCAATCATGTGTAACTGAGCCGGTGCTCGAAGATGGAGCGAAAAGGAAAGCGGAAGCCTTTTCTTTGCCTTTTTCGTAAGAAAGGATCGATCACTGTCATCTACGTCAGTGTCAAGAAACGTTAGTTTCGAAAATGTTTCATATCTGCGGCGCTCAATTTGGTGCATCATGATTTTAATAACGCAATATTCGACAAGTTGCAAAAATTCCTTTCAGAGAATTTCATGAGCGGATTTCGCAGGGTCGTGCTCTCATTTTTATTTCCAATCTGTTTCTAATATACTCTCAATATTTTCCAGTAGGGTTTAAAATGAATGTTAACCCTTTAACCGGTCCCACTAATGATTAAAGTGTAACTTCTTGCTACAATATCCATACATTACCCAGCAAACGGGCAATGAGAATACCCAAACTTATCAGGTAGAAGTTGTTATTTTGATCTAACATCAAATCCCCATAACTAACTTACAACGAAATGTCAAGCAGCAAGAGGGGAGAATTGATAATTGGATCTTGGGAGTTAAAGGGTTATAATTAACTATTGTTGAATGGAGCGAGAAGGCGATTCCGCGATTTCGGCCTCTCAATCTTTCTAAACCCGCCCAAGTATTTAAAAAAACACAACGAAGTACCTCATTTTACTCATACGACCAAGTTCATGGGGTGTAAAAAGTAGTTTCTAGGAGGAGTGGGCAGGAGCCTATTATTGTACATCAGTGTTCATGGGCGTCTCCTCCAGTCTCCCTTTCCCACGCTCAGGCCATTTGCCATTTGTATTAATAAACCAAACTGGGGTCTCTCAGGTCAAGACCAAAAATAAGCCGATGAAAGGCGAAAATCATAGACTAAGAAGCTAATTTATTTAAGGCTTCCATAAATGACCAACATCATAAGTTCATGATCACCTGTGGATAACAGACAAGATAACCCTTAGCGGGGTCACAAAGATCAGACGCCAACATACTTGATATTCCTTGATGCCTAATGCAAAGCATCTGCTTTAAGCTGTTGTAAGTGTTGGGAGACTCTAAGAGGTAAACCCATTTCTTAAATAATAAAATATATTTAAATAATTTGCCAATTTCGTCGACTTGTCATCCGCGCTTTGATAGCCGTCGATTCACTAACAACTAGTCAACAAATTGACTGCTATCTTCATATTTGTTGTTTAATTGTCCTAGATCCAAACTAACGGCATGTACATTGATTAACCTATCAGTTTACAGGTTAGTGTTTTTTTTCTCTAGATTTCTCTATCGCAAGATCTGCCACAATTAACGAAGATGTTTCTGTCAACTACAGTTAACTACAGTCTCCTTTCTGAGATAGGTTTCAGTAACGCTTGACTCCACATCATTCATGAGATAACTCTGCCATATTTGACCATGATTAAAAATCATTTGACACCAACACGCATACTTTCTACTTCTAGCCCACCGTGAGATCATCAGGTAATTTACGCAGAGAAATATTTCGAGATTTTCCGATATGTCTTGTGTTTAGTCAAGCGGAAGTGGCTCGGAAGTATGCGATTCCCGCGCGTATTGTGGATAACGCGTTGTGATTGGCTTAGCGGGAAAATGTGAAATTCTAAATATTTCTGTCACGTGAACGAGCATTAAAGTCAAAGCGCAAAGAAAGTAGGATTTGTGACGGGAATTATACGCTTAACTTTTCTTTCTCTGCTCAAAGAAGATGGAAGACGAAGAGGCTGTGCTCAAGAAAAAGGTAGGGAAGAGTCCAATGAATGAATTTCAAGCGTTATGAGGTGTTAACAGTCATTCACCCTCCACTTCCGATTATGCAAGTAATTCGTACAGTAAACAACTGGTGGATGAGCCCGAACTGTAGCCTTGTTTGGTGAGGAGCTCTCAGCCTTCCACCTTTACTGTGTGATTGTTTACTCGCTTTTGAACTCTTCGCTTTCACTTAAGCAGGATAATTTTTTAAAAGTTCGCATGGACCAACGATTTTCAAAAGCGGTTTGTTTTCACTTCCTACTGAGTTGACACTAAAGGTATTCTTTTCTTCAGGAGTTCCTTCATGAGAGTGAAGCGTGAACCTTTGCAGCCTTGTCGATAAACTTTTTACCTCTAAATCGTTTTATAACTATTTTTAGCCCTTCCGTGCCTGTAGAATCGATTCTAAACAATAATTATGTAAATCTGAGAACGAATTACGTTTTTTTCTGCTATTTGTAATATTTTTGCAAGACCACGATATCAAGAAAGATCGCGGTCGGCCTGATGTAGTTTCGAAATTTAGTCCTCGTTGATAATGTGGAATAAAAATATCTTTTTATTTTTGGATAGAGTTGCGATCAAATCCTGCTGTATTAGCAATATTATGAAAGTGCGTGTATACTGTAGTCGCAATGTTATCCTAGAAATGGATTTGTCACGTATGAAGCTGTATGGATTGTTGAAAATTTTGTAAATTTGCCAAGCTTTGAAACAGTAAGCCGCACGTATTTCTCAAGGAAACAGTTCTTGAATCTTCAGGTAATCTTCTAGGTAGTCAAATTACCGAGATACCTCCAAGAGGATTGTGTATTCTTCGAAATTTGAATAGTAACAATGGATCACTTTAGCAGCTTAATTACGTAAGTTAAACTTTTGGTCCTAACTGTCTCCGTTCATCTTATCTCGCTTGAATTTCGAGACTACTTTTTAATTGTGGCAGCATTGCAAAATGTTAAATTATTATCAAGTGTCGATTTCCCCGTCACAAATCAACATTTTACTGCTAAAAGGATGGGTTTGTAAATATTTTCACGGAATGTTTACAAGGAATGTGATATAGGCTTTGCATGTTGTCGAGGTGATCAAGAATTCTTTTCGTTTTAAGATAATCTGCCGACCAATTTTGGTCTTCTTGTATCTGTTTGTAGCTTAATCTTTTTCTGACCTTTCTCAAGACGGCCAAAGTTGTTTTGTCATCAACAGATTCTTTCGGCCATTTTAATTCTCAGGAATTAATTTATCTCTGAAAAAATCGAGATACTTGATTGATTTGCCTATTTGATTTCCGTTCTGCCTCATTTAGCCCTAAATTAAGTATCAACACTTCGTTAAATTCATTAAGGTTTGGGAACATAACAAATGTAAACAGTTATTGTACTTCTCTGTGAGTGAAATTGTTCAATTGTCTATGGGTGATTCCCTGAAGTCCTTAGTTGTGTCACTCTGTGTAAACAAAGCTACAGAAGGTGAAACTGAAGGACAGGGTCAGGTGTCATAAAAGTTCAATTTTATGAAAACTCCATAGTCCATTGAGGCTTCTTCAGAGAGAACAATTTTGGTGTTTATTGTTAGTGAAGAGGTCACCACAAAATTCAGTATTTGCATTTGGCATAGCTTTATATCCTTGACAAACCATCAGTAGCCACCTATAGAATTGATTCTGCTTCAAAAGGAGGCAGTGGTTAAGGCTGGGTTTGATAAATCAAGTGAAATGTTTATTTTGAATATTTATCTTAACAAAATAAATATTTCAAGATAACTATCAGATGAAATAATGGAAGAAGTGAATCTGTTAATACCTCATAAAGCACACTTAGCCCCCTTGGTTCCAACATGTTGCTTAAAAAGGCTGAATTATCTTTGCTATTTACGACCATTAGATTATTCCTCCCCTAAAAGTTCCTTATGACTTCTCTTATTTTCACTGTGTGACAAAAGTGGCTAAGATTGTTGCTAGTCATTAGGTGATAATGTTTTATACAACAGAATTGATAGTGACTGTAACATATACTTGAGGGTGGCCTTCTGGTCCTGTTCACAGTAAAACCCTTCTCTTTAAATTGATTATTTTGAATCCCAGAAGTAATTTTCCTGTAAATTCTTCATATAATTTTAGTACAACATGATGCAGCCTTATTGTTGTATGTTTATAAACCTTAAGCTTTAGGGTTTATCTTGATATAAACCCACATTCTCTTGATCTACACACAAAAAAGGGTACAGCTTTTGACCCTCTCTTTCCCAATATCTGGATGAAAATTCTCCTTTAACTGTTTGCCATACATTCCTTGTAAAGTTTGTTTTTAGAATTTAGTGTGCAGATCAAATGATAATCCTCTAGTTAATATTTGTGGCTATTCTCGTCACTTGGCTTATGTCTGGGTTTCTACCAGGAGTGAAAAGGTTAAGAGAAAGATTACCATTCTGATCCAAGGAGTCTGAATGGGAAGACCCCATCACAAGTGGTTGAAAAAAAATTGGTCTTTAAAGGGCGCTTGCTGATAAGGAGATTATGGTGGTCAAGAGCAATTTTCAATTGAGGGTCAAAGTAATCCTGGATTGCTTTGGTTTTTACTTAAATTTAGCTCTGACTGGTCGACTGAAAAGCCTATGCCATCCTTTCAACAAATCATGGCTTGAACACTTGTTTTCCTGTACTTATAACAACTTTTTTTTTACGTTGATTGTAGACTGTTGTGATATTTTCCTGTGTTCTGATCGGCCGTTGTGATAAGTTTAGATTGGGTATTGCAATAGAGAATTCAGAGGTGCTTTATACGCTAAACTGTCTCAATGTTACTATTTATTTTTAAGTTGGAAGAGACAACCAATTTTGAAGAAAGACGTGAGATTAGACAAAAGCTTAGAGAGCTACGCAAAAAGAAACTTGATGCTTTAGAGTCAGCTACAACTACAGCAAATGAAAGACCAAGAAGGAGGGATAGAGTGAAAAGAGAAGAGCAAACTACTATTATAACAGAGACAAAAACAACCACTGGTGATTCTTTGGAGCCATCAACAGTACAAACTAAGGTGGAGGTTAGTTATAGTCACACAGTGGCAACTGATGAACCCTCTGAAAATGGTCATGAAAATGGACATGTTGAAAGTGAAAATGTTGTTGAAGAGGAAACAGTTTCTGCTAAAGAGGAAAATGTTGTTGAGGAACAGCCAGTGGAAGGTGAAAGTGCAGCTCAGTTTAGTATAGAAATAAATGGGGAAAAAAGTTCCCAAGATAAAGATGAAGAAGAAGTGGTGCCAACCCCACAGTCTGAACTTTCCACAGACACTGAAACCGTAGAAAAATCCTCTGAAAAAGTCATTGAGGATGAACCAGCACAGGACAATGAAGAAGAAGAAGAAGAAGTGGAAGAAGTGGAATTAACACCAGAAGTGATTGAGAAGATGGAGGACTTAGATCAATTAGAGAAACTGGTGAGCATGAGTCAAAACAATTTTTCTGTGTGGTTCAATTTACTCCATTTCTTAAACTGTGCATTCATCCAAAGCCTTTTAACCATTTAAGTTTTGACATCAGTATCCATATTCTCCATACTCTTCTTAACTCATTTCCTTTGGTACTGACAAGGAGAATTTGTTTTACAATCAATAGGTTTTTAGTTGGTGATTGTTTCCTCCATTCTCATGACCTCAAATGTGTGTTTCAGAGTTGGTATTGTAAGGAGAAATTAGATGCTAGTCACTCTAATGGGTCAAAGGGTTAAAAGTTGAAAAAACTTTTTTTGAAAGCAATTTAGAGAACACTTGAAAAATTAATGATTCTGTGATTCATTACCTTCATTTCTTCCCCCTTTTATTTTTTCTTACTTTTCCCTTTTTTTTTTTCAGCTTAAAGATGTTCCTTTAAATGAATATGCTCTGAGAAAGGCAATAAGGCTACAAATAAGACAACTGAGAGTCAAGAAAGGTTTGTGTTTTTCTGTTCTCACTATGCTCTAAGTTTTAAATGACTGAGATTTCACCAGAACTTAATATCTTTATAACCTTTTCTTTGCAAACTTGCGAAATGAAGTTATCATGGAGCAGTGATTCATTTTTTTGCATAACTTTCAGATAGCATTTTTTGTGTTTCAAACAGTGGTAATAGCAGCATCCCATACTTCATTTTTATAACCCTTTACACCCATACATCAGTATGCATATTCTCTATACTGATCTCTATAGAATTCCCATAGTACTGACAGGAGTTTTTGTGCATTCAGATCAAGGGCTCCTTCAGCTAGTGATAACATCCTGTATTCTTGCAACATTAATGTCTGATTCATTGGTAAAACTGTGAGGAGAAAGTCAGTGCTATTCACTCTTAGGGGTTAAAGGGTTATCTGTTCCTTTTAATGCCCCTTAGGACATGAAATTGATATAATCTCAACTGAATTAAGTATTTTGCAAGTTCTTTTAGTTCTCTGGTAAATTAGCAATTTTGAAGTGTAGATGGATAACTTGAGATATGATCAAACTACAGCAATGCAAAAGAATACTCGAGTGGCATCTAAATTCAAGTCAGAGGCTCCAGCACCTAAGGGAATGAGGTTAGTATAGCAGCTGCTTTGAGACACAAAAGTAATCTGTTGCCTGTTTGTACTCACTTTTATATTGACAGAGATGAACAAAGATAGTGAAATTGGGCTAGGGTTTAGAAAGAGAGATAGAGTCAATCAAGAAGATGACTTACCAGGAAATAAAACATCCGTGAGAAACCAACCTTCTGAGTGTTCCAGGTCACAGATATCTGATGATAGTGGATTGAGTTCCGGTACTGAAACCATGGCTTCAGTATCCATTGATGAGGATAATGTTCAGCTTGATATTGACAGTGTGAAGCCCCAAGCAGTGGCTAGTGACTCTGATGCAGATGATGCTTCCTCCACAGTATCTAGCTTAACCTCTGGGAGTGCTTCCGAGCCAGAGGTTGTCAAATCTCCACCTCCAAGACCTCCTAAACCATCTAGACCTATGTCAAGCACTCCTATCGAGAGAAGATCTGATGGAGAGCTTTCAGGAGATTTTAAAACTCGAGTACTAGGAAGCTCAACTACACCAATAAGAGATCTGTCAAAAAAGCCTAAATCTTCAGGTCCTGAGCAAGTGGATTTCCGAAACCAACTTAAGAAAACTGGTTTGAGAGCTGATAGAGATTTGACAGCACAGGGGAAAAGACAACAACAGGGAGATTTCCGTGGACAACTGAAGTCAACAGGTATTGATGCATCAAGAAATTTATCAGTGCTAAGAAATGCAGGTAAAAAAAAGGAAGGGTCTGCTCAGGTTGATTTCAGAGGACTTCTTAACAAAGCAAAGGGTTCTGAGAGTCCTGTTGATAAAAAAACACCTCCACGTCCTCCCCCAACATACTTATCAAAGATAGCAGACTCTGGGGCTTCAGCTTCCCGAACCTCTGCTGGAAGTCTGTCAACTGATGGCAAGGAAGGGGCAAAGGACTCGGAAAGTAAAGCTGGTCGAAAGATCTCAAGTTCAGACCTGCTGAACATGTTGCATAAGCCTGTTGAGACTTCCAAGGAAAGTTATCTTGTACAGCGAGGTATCAAGAAGGCAGAGGCCTCAAAATCGGTGACTCAGAAGTTTGTAGCACCATCAACTAGTACAACAGATGAGGCACTTCAAGCTCGCATGGCAGTGAGAAAGGAAAGGTCAGAGAAACTTATTCCTCCAGTCAAAGATCCTCGAGAACAAAGAAGAGCTTCCAAAGATGAGGAAATGAAAGATTTTCGTACAGTGTTAAAGAAAGCTGCTACTCAAAAATCAAGAGTATTGCCCAAAGGAATTGAACATGAAGGGGAGCAGGAAACTTCAGCAGGTGAAGCCAAAAGGTAAGAGGGTTTCAAATGAAGCTATTTTTGTGATGGTGTTTTGTAAGTCTTGTTCTGTGGTGTGATTCTGTGATTCTGCTTGCTAATAATAAACTGATCTTTCTTGCAAATTCTCTCCTATTGACTTTCTATTTTCTTTCTTTACCTAACCTCTACAGAACCTGTCTACAAGGCTGTCTCTGGCATGCAGGTCTTTTTATAAGTTTCAGTAAATTATTGTAACTGAGCTGTTTTTAAAAATTTGGCTAGGAAACTTTTTGTATAAGAAAGCCAGAATCTGCTCTTTGGAAGAAACAGGGAAGTTGGAATAATTAATCAGAGAACTTTCTAGTGAGAGTGACATTGTAAAGTTGGCAAAAACTGCATTAATAGTTTGTACATCTGTTTCATTGACAAAATCCTATTCTGAGTAAAAATATTTTGACAATTCTAGGAATGGTTGAATGCAAAAGCTTCCTTTTGAAACCACATCAAGTATACCTTTTTTTCAACAATTCTAAATCTCTCTCTTAAGATCCTGCAGCAATTATGAACTTTAAATGTCCTTGATAACTGCTTTGTACACCTGAAATTTTCCCTTCTAGTTCAACATTCAAGTTTCACTTCCAAGTTGAATTAACATTCTAGTTGTGTTCAAATTTTTTCTTTTATTTTTCCATAACTGTCTGTAAGCACAAAATTTGGACCATTGACCTCTCAGAAAATTCAATGATGTTGACTTTGTTTTTAAAATTGGCAACTTTGTGAACCAGGTCTTGTTTTTATTTCCTTTTTCAAAAAGCAAATTGGATGACAATTTTGCTAGAACTAGTGTTACATGAACCTGAATTGCCAATCGGCCCATGCAGTCATTCAAACCTTTCAGTTTAAGACAATTAAACAAATTTGTAATTAAAATACTTCTGTTTGAAGACCACCTGCCAATCTGCGATTGATCATGAAATGAACCTGAAGATTATAACTGTCAGTATTGATTTGTGATCTGTTGTTATCTGACAATTAGTGTGAATAAAGAGAACAAAAATCAAAACAGATGTCTTGTGTCATTCTCTAATTAACTGAAAGGTAAAAGCTGATACAACCAAAAAATTAAAAAATTCTAACAATTTCAAAAATGTCATGGTTACTGACCAATCAAAATGAATTATAGACAATCAGTTTTTTTTACTGCAAGATAACAATCTTGTCCATGATAATCAATCAAATTGATATTTATAAAAAGGATGTGGTTCCTATGTAAAACATGATGCAAACTATTCCAAAAATTTCTCATTAACAGTCAATCAAAGTAAAAATAGTATAAAAGAGCAATAACATACTTTCACCAGAAACCAGCTGTACTAGAATTAGACACCTACTGTGTTCATAATGCTTGAGTCAACTTCATGAAATAACTCCAATATGGCTTGTGAACATTCTTGTGTCCTTACTTTGTGTTAAAAACCCTCTGCTGAAGACATGTTTTTTTTAAAGTATCTTCTGTATTTCTGGTGATTTCTAATGACCTAGTCACTCTGACTGTTGTCCTCTTATTTATTCAAGATGCTCACTGATAAGATAAACTGCCACCAAATCTTTTAGTTTGTACTGATGGTAACCAGACTGTGACACAGTTTAACAGATTGTCTGTTCTTTTTCTATTTACAACTGCTTATCCTTTTTTCTTAGTTCTTAAACCTTTGCTGTGCTGATGGCTTAACTACACTAATTTTGTGTTTTATGTTGGTTTTTGTGAAATTGAACATGAAATTTTGATGAACAGAAGATGTGCATTTACATCTTAATTACAGTGTTTTACTTGGCATTATTGGTATTTGTTTAAAATAAAACCTTCCCATATGTCAAACATAATGTGTTTTTTTTATGAGTTGTATTTATTAGAAAAACAGTTATTACAGCTGTAACTTAATGTTAATTTGTGTGGTCTTACTGCTTAAAAATGTTATTGTTCTTACAGTCAAATATAGAGTTGTATTTAGAGTTGTCATGACAGTCTTATATGCGGAACCTTAAGTTCAAACATTTCAAATTGCTCTCCAGGTGAATAGTTTGGGGAATAATTAAGTTTTATCAAACTTTGTAAAAGTGTGCACACCTTTAGTAGATGAAAAGGTTAATCAGTGTTTAGAGGATAAAGTCTTATAATTATAGTTAAATCCTCTGAGGGGGGGAATGTGATGATACTGTTTCATTTACCACAGAAACCTGCGGGCTCCCTATATCTTGGTCTTTCCTGGGAGTTAAAATTTTCATTTTCTAGGTCTTACTGCTTTTTTGGATTGGAAAGAACTTTGTTGACCCTTCTTTGGGGAAAGCAATTATGGGAGGGGTGTCTAATGGTCTTGCATCAAATTAGTGAGAAAATAATCCTAAACTTAAGAGGAGACACTTCCCTATAGTTACAAAACTTTTTCTCTGTTTAATTTTATCAAGATGTTTATTTGAGTGTTTAACAATGAGATGTTTTTTTCTCCTCTCAATCACTTTTAGTGCCTAAGTTTTCAAATGTCTTACCCCATGCTCTCCTATTGCAGGCCAAAGTTGGCCAAATATTGACACCTACCCAAATTTATTGAACTCTGCAATACTTTAAACATGTACTCTTGATCTGTAGGTTTAATACATACTTAGCTCTCCTGTGTTATCCCAGATATATATTTTGTTCAAAAAAAGGTTCATATCTATACAGCAGATGGAAATAAGTTTGTTTTTGAGTAGAATTTTATGCAAGGGAGAAGGTGAAGGGACTGGTGACCTTTTTTCCATTAGATAAGAAATTCCTTCACGTTTCCTAAAGGAATAACAATGAAAGTTCAAAATAAGGAATTATCATTTCTGTTTGATGCATGGAATAAATTTTAATTGTGAAAGTGAAAATTGATGCTTGGCTCATTAGTGAGGCAGCTTCATTACCACTGCAACTAAATTAATTTGAGGGTGATTTTCCTTTTGTGCTTCTGTGTTTTTATTCTTTGTTGATTCAGTCTTAGTTGTAATTGCATGAAATCTTTGTGTTTCCTTCCTAGGAATGAAAGATTTTCAATAGACATCCAAGACAAGAATGAACTTGCAAAGTTACGAGCAGATCTTTTACGTCAAAAAGAAATACAGGACAAGGAACCTTCAGAAACAAAAACTGTCACAACTGTCAGGGAGAAGACAGTTAAGGAGACTGATGGGGGACAGGGAACAACAACAACAGAGGTTAAAAAGACAACTGAGGTACACAAGACAGGGGAAGGTACCACAACAGTGACTAAAACAACAAAAACAACTACAGGAGGTAGTAAAGGTTGGTGTCTCTTTTAATCACTTCCTGATCTTGCTGATAATTCCTTTTGAGTTTTACATCTGATTCAAGAATAAATTGATATTAATAGGAAAAAGATCTCAGTTGATCTCAAAGGTCTAAAGAAGATACATAGCAGTGGTTTGTACTTTGCTAGTTCAACAATTAAACCCTTTACACCCCAACATCAGTATCCATATTCTCCATAGTGTTCTCTATACATTTCCTAAGGTGCTGATAAGGAGAATTTGTGTATCACTTAGAGCTTCTTCAGTTGTAAAATGAAATAAAACAGACATCTCTAGAGAGTTAAAAAATGAAAACCTAATGTTTACAACTTCACGAGCAACACAACTTAAACTTCAGTTTATTGATCAGGGTGTTATCCATTGAAGGGAGGGTTTTTCTTGTGAATGTATCTGATTCCTCTCCACCAAAAACCTACTATTTGTAGTTTGTATTTGAGTCTAAAGATGTTCAGAATGATTTGATATTTTATTCTGAAAGCACATACAGTGAGTCACCTCAATATATTGTTGTGTTAAATATAGTGGATGATTCAATATGTTTGAGGTTAAAGAATTTCTTCGTAACATTTTTGTTATGAGAAAGTCTTGCATGTATTTAAGGAAAATTTTCAGCACAAAGAAACAAATTTTTATGGATATCCAAAGGGAGGACTAGGTCTCCTGGCAGGTTTTATTTTCCTTGTTTACAAAATTAATGCTAAATTTTTAGGTTTTGCTCACTACATTATTTTCACCACATTTTCAATGAGACAGGTGCTACTGTTTGATATGTAACTGTCAAGTCATTATCACCTTCATTTACTTTTCTTGTATTCTTTTATTATCAGACATGAATTATTTAACTCTCTTTTGTTTAGAGAGAACCCTGAGAGGGAAATGTGAAAACTTTTTCACCCATGTTCAATTATACTGTTTGTAGCACTCATTAATATTTAACGCATACCAAATTTATTCACTGTAGACAATACGAGGTATAGTTTATGTTTTGATCTAAGAAGCGGATATTTGTGGAAAGAAAGGTATCAGTGTTCTACTTGGAGAAATTCTGACAATCTAAGTAACTTGGTTCTTTGAAATTTGTTCACCTGATCATCTATACCTTGGTAAGCAGATGAAAAGCCTTGAATTTCACAAATTTATGTCTTTATTTGACACTTAATACTTGTTTGTCTCTTGCTTGAGGGCCTAGCTACAGCAGGTTATTACCCTTAGCCATGAACGGATAACAAATTCTCAGAAATATTAGAGTACAGGGAATTTCACAGGAGCAAATGAGAAAATTTTTAAAGTACTTGCTGCTCAAAGTTTAGCACTAGACAATTGAACTTAATTTCAGATAACTGTGTGCATACACTGTAAAATAATGTTTTCAGCAAATTTTATGGGGTCGATGAAAAAATTAATCTTTTGAAATATGAACTATTCTCAGCTCTTCAAGTGAATCACAGATTATTTTTTTTAACCTTTAACTCTGCAGTACTCATCACAATTTCTTCATTTATTATTAGGGGCTTCAATTGATGCACTGTTTGCACAAAGGAAGAAAGAGAGAATGATGGCCAAAAAGAAAGCAGATGCAAACACAAAGGACAGAAGGAATGCATTTAAACAGCAGCTGGAAGCTCAAGCACCAAAAGTGTATGTAAAAAAATTATTTTTAATGTAAAGTAATATAGTTAATACAGATAAATATAGATCTAGTGTGAAAAGAAAAATCCTGGAAAATGATTTATGGGTAAAATGATAACCTATCTACAATTGCCTTTGATACCAGAGAAATTAATTTGGACTGAACTGTAGGATTACAAATTTTTAATGAACCAAAATTCAGTATTGCTGCATATAATCATGACTAAAACACCAACAGCTTATTGCCAAAGCTTCCTTTAAAGTCAGGTTTTGAAATGTTACATGTTTTTTCTGTGATAAGCTAGAGCACAATAATTGTTTGGCTTGTTAGCTGATGTCACCTTTAATATCAATATTACTATTGCAGTGAAGGTGGTAGGAAGTTCACTAGTGGCAACACTGCTGTAAACCAGCTCCAGGAATGGTGTCGTCGAAGAACTAAGTTTCATGAGGTTAGTTGATGCTTTCACCCAAGAATCAGTTGAAATTTTGGTTTCAGAAAGTAATTTGAACTGAGCTGTTGGATTGCAAAATTTTTCTCTCACCCAAGAATCAGTTAAAATAATCTTTTTTTTGATGCTTTATAATTAATACTGTGCAGCTGAGCACTATAACTTCAAAGGTTCATGCACTGTACTCATTCATGTTTACAAATGAATTTGTACGCTTTGAGGCAGCACTGGTAGAGACTGAGGAATAGTTCATGGCAATAGTTCCTGAAATTGTCACTTTTGTGTGCCATTATAGGGAGTGGACATTCAGAACTTTACTACCAGCTGGGCCAATGGGTTGGCTATGTGTGCTCTGCTAAATTACTTCCTACCCGAGAAGATTCCATATGAAACTCTGAATCCTGAAGACAAAAAGGGAAATTGGACCCTGGCCTTTAAAGTTGCCAAGTGAGTAAAGTTTTAAAGACAAAATGAATAGTCTGTCTCTGTGTACTTTACCAGCTTAGGATTCATAGAGTCGTATTCAACTGCTGTTGTGATAACCCAGAGGCCCACAATGTGAAGCAAAGTGAGATAGGGTGTTACTTTCACATTTTGGTCATTTATCTTAACCCTGTACACCCTATCATCAGTATGCATTGTCTCCATACTGTTCTCTATACATTTCTTAAGGTGCTAACAAGGAGAATTTGCCTAACAATCAAGAGCCTCTTTAGTTGGTGATCATTTCCTTTATTCTCATGACCTTAGTGTGTGATTCAGGTTTGATATTGTAAGGAGAAATTAGATGCTAGTCACTCTTAGGGGTTAAAGCTTGTACAGGGTGATAAAATAATACTACAGTAACTTTTAAACATGATTGTTATCATGATGGGAAATAATTAACATCTAGTCCACCAGACTTGGGATATAGAGTTCAAATGTGAACACCTGGTGCCAGGTTGTTTTGATATTGGACAACTAAAACACTTTGTTCTGACTGTGCCCTTCTGTGCAAGTGTGTAGATGTTGCCTATTCAGGGCAAGGCTTTCAAATTTCAAGACCTTGAGCCCAGTGCCCCTCTGGGCAAGTTTGTAAATGTTGTCAATTGGTAAAGCTTTGAATCTTACTCCACTAACAATTCTCCTCAGGGGAATGTAGAAATCTCGTCTTTCTATTGGTTCATTACCTTGGAGGGCTGGTAGTTTGATAGTTTGTTATCACCAATCCAGTATTTTAAGTTCTTATTTTGATTTCTCCTTCATAAAAATGTGTCATATTATTATATGGGGTACTTCTTTAGTGCAAGGGAAACTAGATGAAATGAAGTATTCATATTACATTCTCTCTGTGATAGCTCCAGCTATTATGATCGAGCTACATGGCTAGTGAGACTGAAGAATTTTTTGTTTGCTCTTATCAGTGAGGAGGGCATTGAACCTTTGTTGGAGTTGGAAGACGTTATGGCTGTTGATGTCCCTGAACCCAAAAGTCTGATCACTTATGTCCATTTTGTCTACCAACACTTTTCAGAGAAAAAACAACAGCAACAGCAAGCATAGACAAGTTCCATTGAGGTTAAGGTTCTTGATACTGTGCTTTAATCTTTCTTGAGCATAATAATATATTTTAAATCAGGCAGCTCTTGCTTAATTTCATAGTAGTTGAAATGATATAATATTATGTAAATGTATTTTAATAAAATAGTTTTAGATATGATCGTATAAGATCATGCAGGTTATTTTTAATCAGTTGTCCAGTCAATGATTTTTTATTTTTTATTTACCAAAATTTTAGCAAGATGGAGTAGTTGAATTTGATTCTGCATTTTATAGTAACGGATCAATGAGGTAACAATATTAAACAGTGTAATACAGTTATATAAGGACTTTTGTATCATTTATACAATACAAGTTGCTAATAATTGAATTGTTCTGGATGGTTTCTCCTTCAAATTTTTCAATAAATCAATTGTTACAGGGTAAGAAATTTCAGACAGAGTATCTTGCACTAAAGTCTTTTGAGTTACATTGTAAGGTTGATTTCTCTTTATTAGTTATGCCACACAAAATTTCTATGGTTGAAGTTATATACAGTGTAGGTAAAGATGTTGCGTGTAAGATTTAACCCTTTAACTCCCAAGATCTGATTGTTAACTCTCCCCACCAGTTGCTACACATTTCCTGGTAATTAAGTTACGAGGAATTTTATGTTAGTTCAAAGTAACAACTTATATCCGTAAAGTTTGAAGTATTCTCATCACGCGTTTTGCCGGATATTGTATGGATATTGTAGGGAGAAGTGCTATTTTAATCACTTCTGGAAGTTAAAGGGTTAAAACAATCCGCTAATGTTAGTTGGATAATCTTGTTCGAAGTGGCAACCTTTAAATATCGTTTACAGAGAAATATAGATGATTGAGTGACAAGTTAAAACGTGCTCAGTAATATATAGAATGACTTGTCTAACTTGAAGTAATCACAATGTTTGCAATCGAGTGAATGAAATCATTTCCACTGTAGGTAATTTAAAGTAAGATTTTATGATATTTTATAATCTTCAAAGGTGGGGCATGAGATGTCAATCACGAAATATAGAGTATGCATCTGTAGCTGATATTCTGTGCTATTGTTTATAATTATATCGAGTTTTGATCATGGTTTTCATTAAAATTACTACAAAACAGATTGAATTTGAGCGTTTCGTGTTATTAGTTTTTCTTTCTTGGCCGTCAAATAGGAAAACGAGGAACAGAGCGCGTGCCACGCCCATTGTGTTTCAAGAAGAGCGGCCTGTTCCAGGCCTTCAGTTGGAGAAACGAAGCGCAATATCAGACCTTAGATTGGTCAATGAATTGAATGCACGTGACAGAGCTGACATCGCTTCAAAATGATGTTTTTCAGTTTGCTAAGGACAGTTAACCTGGAAAGGGTTTTTCCCCTTTTTTATTTTTTTTTCTTGCAATGAAGAAGCCAGCTGTGCCAGCAGTGCACGCTTGTTTCAAGCGTTGTTTTCAAGCGTGTTTTCATGCATTCAGTAAATGAAAGGATTAGCGAGAATATTGCAGAACAGTAAAGGAGGATGGTTTTGGAGAGGACATAACTACCGTATTCTACTGACCCACTACTCTGCATCCGCATAACAATTACACAGCCATCAGAGAAGAAAGTACTAATTTCTTGTCTCTTATTTTTATCCCCCTCTTTCATTGTGTCTTTCTGCGAGCCATCAACAGAAAATCGTCTTTATGAGAAAAACCTTATTGACTTCTTTTAGTTCATTCCTAAAACAAGTGTTGTATCTCCATAAGGTATATTTAAAAATTATTCCTTGAGCGCGCGTTTGATGTGAGATGGTAAATAGCCAACGAAGCGCATAGTGCTGAGTTGGCAATAACCAATCTTGTATCCAACAAGCGCGAACGGAATAATTGTTTTATCAAATTTCATCAAATCATGATCGTAAGAATATTTGGAACTTTTTTCAGCTCGCATTTTTCCTTTTGTTTTTATCTGTTACCATGGATTTCACTTAATCTGGTAGTTTCCACCGAAATAGTAGCGCACTAGCTGGGGGCCTGGAGAGAAAGCAAGAAGCTTCAAAAATAGTGGAGCTACAAACTTTAGACTCCGGTTGTTGACCCTATGTGAAAAAGACACAACAAAAATATATTTTTGACTGAAACTATGTAATCATAGTCACACAAGTCTAAAATTTCCGTAATTTCCGACTTATGGTCATCACTGGCGCATAGTCGTTCGATCGTGCGCTTATGGAAAAAAGTCTGATTGTGACGCTTCTTCAGAGGACATCCATTTTCCCGTAAGGGAGTAGAACTCAAAATGCCTCTCGAAACATTTTGGCGCGCCTTCATAGAAACTTTACAGGCTATAGCACATTTTGGATTTTGTGATAACGAAGAAAGGTAAGGCTCAAAACTTGTGGAAATTGTCACGTTGTTACGACAGGAAAAAGGTTTAAAACATTTTCTCTTGTTCAACGGGCCGATCGCGCGCCGAAACGTGTCTCACAAAAGTAATTTGAAATTTCACATTAGCTACAATGGTTAGTATTTTACCAACAAAAAGATGCACATGAAACAGAATCCGACTTAGAAACAAATCTAGTTGTCTAAAAAAAGACACAAGTGGGAAAAGTGCAATTTGGCGCACTAGACATTCCTTCTTCTTTCTTTCCGCTCACTATGGCAGAAAGAAAGAAAGATTTCCTTGCCGTTCGTTTACTTTTCCGAATGTTTCAAAAAAGAAATACATTCACATGCGTTACTTGAAGAAAGATTGAAACAAAATACAAAACTTCACTCAGTAAAGTTATTGATGCGGGTCTTGAAGATTTGTTTGAGGGGTAGAGACGAAGGCCGAGAGTGGAGGGGAGGAGAGGGGAGGGGAGGGACTGAGAGGGAAGGAGAGGGAAGGGAGAGAAAATAAAGAGAGAGAAAGAGAGAGAGGGGGGGGGGGGGGGCGAGGCGAACGAAAAAACAATTGACTTCTTTTTCCTTGTAGAGGTAAAAAATATATACAGTGGAAAAGTAGAAGATGTTCCAGTATTTATATTTTTAATCTGCAAGTAGAGGGGGGGAGAGGGGGATGGGAGGATGAAATGGAAGGAGTAGAGCGTGGAATAGTGGAGGAGAGGGGGGAGGGAATGCAACGGAACTGAAGTAAATGAAAAACAATTCACAATTTTTTTCCTTTCAGTGGTGAAATTAAAGAGACCAAGAAAACGAAAACAAGTATCAAAGGTATGTAAAGATCATTTCTACTTGAGAGATAAATTTTCCTAGAGGATGAGTCATTTCAGTTACAATGAATCAGGCTCAGTGGGATCATTTTGACAGCAAACCATAAGAAAATTTAGGGTTAGAATTGGATTTGTATCATTTCGCAGATGAAACCAAGAACAGCAAGTTGGAGGAAGAGAGCAATGATGGGCAAGAGGTTAAAGCCGAGCTTACCGAGGACGTTAAATCGTTTGTGGTTACTAAAGAAGATGAGAATGTAGAGGAAGACTTTTGGGAAGACATCACCTCCCCTGAGATTCATGTAAAGGTAACAGCCATTCAAGAAGCGAACATCACAAGAATAGAACTAAAGAAGTAAATTAGGAAGCCTTTGAACATGACCAGTGGCTGGACATCACCTAAGGAGAATCTTGGGCTGATATTGTCTCAAGGGAGACTCCTCTGGAGGATCGATATTACTGTGTTTGAGATGGCGAGAAATCTGCAGTGGTCGGATCAGGTCGATGCAGAATATGAAAAGACACAGATTCGACAAACAAGCGAACAAATTCAGTCTGTTGAGAATCATGTCGAGAAAGTTTCTCAAGATACCGAAATGAAAGAAATGGAAACTGCAGAAGTCCAGGAGAGTTGTGAGGACAACAAATTAGTTGCTAAGGAGATAAAGGTGCTCCGCCTTACTTGGGAAGAGCTTCTCTTAGCAGAGAAACACATGGAATCGGTTTTCGTGGAAGGTTTGAGTTCAGATCATATCAAATCAACAAGACCAAGTTTGGCTCAAGAAGATCCCGCAGGTAAGTGCGATTCAACCAAGGGGAAGGGAAACTACTGCATTAATTAATTTAGATAGTATGAAGCAAACAAAACAACGAGAATCATTCCGTACAGAAGGATATACATTTCCTTCATATCAATTACCACCATTATTAACGGTGGCGTAAAACAAAAAATGCAAGAACCTCAGAGTTCGTATGCTTTTTCAAGCTGCAGATAATTCGAGATCAAAGACAGATTCTCAGACAAAAATAAGGCTCAAAGAATTATAAAAATTACTTTCCACAGGGAGAGGTCCAAAGGAAAGAAGAAACGAAGAAAAAGAAAAAAGAAAGAAACATTAAAAAGTGTGGCTGAAGAAGACCCTGCTATTCTGGATTACAGGGAAATACCCAGCCATGGGTATGTGAAAGTTTCTTTGACTATTATCATTAACCATTAAACAAGGAAAATGAAGAAGCCAACATGCAAAGTGTAAATGCAGAAGGAGTAGAATTTGACGTAATTTTTGGTGCCAGAACTTTCTGGAAAAATACGTCCTAAATACAGAGGTGTTGTTGAAGATTTAGTGTTCTGAATAAAATAACATTCTTACAAGAGGTATTCTAGACAATTTCTCGTTGGTTCATATTTGTGGTCATCACATGGGCCAAACATATCGAAATATACCCTTGAGGCCGTTTACGCCGTGATTCCTTCCACAAACTGCATGGCCAGTTTGGTTGAATGACGCACTTTGCCTGGGTTAGTGGAAAAAAGGAAAACATTTGTATCGTGATAATTTTGATTCAACCAGACTGAAGCACTTGTTACTTTAATGAATGCGCAGTTTTTCTTCTAATCGAGTCAATCAGACTTAAAGACGCGCTGCAATAACGTCTCAGAGAGCATATTTTGTTGACTATAGACATTAAGACAACAGCCCTTTCTTCAATGTTCCGTCACCTTTGTAGGCCCGAAGTCTTATTTTTAAACCTAAATGCAAGGAATAGAAAACCGAGTCTCAGCCAAAAGTCAGTCCATTCT